TACATCAAAACATACCCTTAAATATGCTTGATTTGATCATGTAATTTTAACCTTGATGATTCATAAATCATACTATAATATTAGCCTGCAATTTCAACATTTTACTTAAGGATATACTGTTATTTGGTTGTTTATCAGAAGCTACATGTGAGCTAAATCTTTGTTGAAATGTTAGGCGACTCATGTTTAAGAAAGAATTTGACACAACCTATGTGGGATTCAAGGAGGATGGTGCAAAATGGCTAGTAGAGAACACTGACATCAAACTTGTAGGTGAGATATAGATGACTTCTTAAGATTTGGTCTGCTTCTTCCCTCCCAAAAAACATTTCCTCTGTCTCTTGTTTGACTCATGACTATCTAGTCTACATTTTTAATTTTCTCCAGTTATTTTTCTCTTATAAATCAATCTTCTAATTGTCTCATCTAACATGGAGTCATATACTTATATAAAGTTTCCTTTCACATTTTTAAACGTATTATTTTGTTCTGGCCATTTCTTTTGTCTTGGTTTACTATATCTTATTCTTTTCAGCTCAGAGGACATCCTTTTTTAAGCATGCCATTTATCATTTTGATGCCTTTACTAGTGTATGGTAGTTATGAGTGTTAATTTTCTATATGCTATATAGGAACCAATCAATATGAGTTGATGTCAATTGATTTCATTCTATGTGGTTATGAATTAATAAATAGCTGCAAAAGTTAAAAGTGCAGATGATTATTTTGTATTATTGTCCACTGACTCTCCTTTAAATGTTATGTGTGGACTGTTGTTTATTTGCACCAGTTTTTTCACCTACAGTGTGCAGTGTGGGATATTAATTACCGCATACCTTGGTAATTGTATGTGGCTAAACATTATAAATTCCCTGCCCTTGATTGGTCAGTTCAGCAGTCTCTGTACTTGTATCTTGTATTTCCTCATACCAACATAGTCACAGAAAAAGTTCTTTGTGGTGGTAGCATGATTTTGTCCTAGAAATGTGCTTCACAACACAGCAAATTATATCTTGTACACGGGAACAACTTCAATGGAATTCTTTTGCTGTTCCAACTTATTGTAGTCATATTTCTGCTTTTATTTTCTTGTGAAAGTTGTTATTGCACTAGTTCAATTTCCCTTTGTGTAAATGGCAGGAATTGATTACTTATCTGTTGCTGCTTATGATCACTCCATTTCCTCTCACGTTGCTTTTTTGGAAAGCAGGGTAAGAAATTCTGTCTTTTGGTTAAGATTTATGCAATTTTACTCCTTGTTAATAACAAGCTACTCATTCCAACTATCTTGCATTGGAAAAAAACTATAAAAACTACAAATAAGATATCCAAGGCCCTAAATATATTGATTAGTACCTCACATCCGGAATCATTTTCCCTTCTTAAACTATTGTACTTGTATCGATAATGTTGGATAAGGATTGGATGTCTAAACTCTGATTTTGGTACACTTTTTTGGCAATGAATCTCATTTAGTGTTTCCAGCAAGATGATGACAATATCAATTTATCTATGTCTGACCAGACTTCTCGATAATTTATAAACTTTATGAAACTTAATTATCACTTAGTCAATATCCTATTGCTAATGTCCTCTATTTATTATTTTTAATAGAATTTTACAGCTGGCCAGGTTTATCAGCAGAGAACTTTTAGCTTCCACTGCTCAACCTATCCATTTTGTTCATTCATAATGGTTACTTCAGTTGATTCTTCTTTACATAATGTTCTGGCCTTAATCCACTTCCTTGGCCTCAACTGTTGATGAACTAATCTAGATTTTTGGTGCGGTAGCATTCTGATTTGAGAGGCTCTTTCTTGCTTATAGACAAATAATGTTTAGTTTATTTGGAAAGATAATTGTAGTTTAAGTCAGTAGAAGATCTAGAGATGGGTAAAGAGAAGATGTTATTAGGTTGTGTCTTTTAATTTCCTTGTTTGAAAGAAAAATAAAAAATTGCATCATTTGTGACTTGGATAAGAGCTAGCATAAGCAATGCACTGAAAAATTTCAAATGCATCAGGAAATCATTCTTGTGGAAGGCCTAAAGCTTGATGATGTCCCAGCAGGAATATACACACTTAATTGCTTGCATCTTAGGTTGGTTCATTCTGAGGCGTCCCCAATTCGATGCATTCTGAGTAGATGATGTGGTGTCCATGTCAGTTTGTGGTGAACCATGATTTTCAATTGCACGGTATGATTATCTTACAAGAATGTGCCATATTTTCTATATTGTTTCTGTTTATTATTCTTATCCTTATCAAGTCAAAATGCTGATGCTAAAGGGTGAAATTGCTGCAAGAAACAATGTCCACAACCACAAGAAGCAGTTTGATGCAAAATTGCAAGCTAAGCTGAAGTAGTATGTTGAATTGTCTTCTTTTACGTCCGTGGGCTGTAAAGTACTACTCGATAGCGTTTGTCTTATATCTGTTATCACTTGTCCGATTGTGATTAAACTTCAGTTCCGTACTACAGGGTCCACCCAAAATAAACTTATGTTTTCAATATTTACTTGTTCAATTTTGAAGGCGCATGCATGCATGTGTTACGTTCTCAATAATTAAATCAATTTCTCTTGAAAAATAATAAAGTACTAGTAAGGATCTCGAGTAAAAAATGAATTTAATTTTTGGCATACCACCCCTACTAATTTGAAGGAATTTTCAAATACTTCAAGAGTCTTTACCAGAAAACAAAACTTTTAAATTAACATGATTTCTAATACTTTAGGGATTGTTTAGATAATTTTGTTCCTTTAACTAATTAGGAATCTAGGAAGATATTTCTTTTTTTGGTTACAAAAAATTTAGATGGGAAGATAGTAATACTTTAAGGATAAATTGATATTTTATTCTTAAGATTTCATACATTAATGATTATAATTGAATTTTTTTTTATGAAAAATGGTTTAACTCATATCATTACAAATATGTCGAACAATACAGTGTAAAATGTAAGTATAGTTTATAAGACCAGCTTGAAATTCACTTGTCTTAGTTGGATAATGAGTTACTGAATTTGCTTCTCTAGATGCAAAAGTGATACTACAGTTTTCCAAGCTATTCAAAAGGGCTCTACAATTAAGTTTAACATTTCTTAACTTAGACATGTTGATGTTAAAGTGATTAATACGTTGGATTACTATGAAATAGCCCATTCCAAACCTAACTGTTTTAACTTTTAATTGATAATTGATAATAAAAATATGGGTTAAAGATCAAAATGTATAGATATTTCCATTTTTAAGTTAATTTTTTAAAAGTAATCTAATATTATTGTAATGTTAATTTATAAATGTTATAATACTTGAAAATTCTGAATTATAACGATAATGATTAAGGAAATTATTTGTTTATTGAATAACTAACTAAGCAAAGAAGTTAATTTAATATAAAAGTTAATAAAAATATACCGTATAAAATAAGAAAGATATGTGGTTGAACCAAAATCTTAAGGCAGTGTTTAGTTTATTTTATGTTTTTATTATAAGAATTTAATCTTGAAAAAAAGAGATGTCAGGTTAAACACAATTTCTAATTTAAAAGCGCAAGTTACAAACTTGTTTTCTTTTACACTAGTTATAAACTTGTTAAAAGCTCATGTTTTGAATTTTTTTTAATTAATTTTTATGTTGTTATTCAACCAGAGGATCGTTTACGGTAAACTTGTTATATATATATATATAT